AAAGCCTGTATGCCACAAAGTTGAAAAATGTAAAAGAAATGGACTTGTTTTTAGATAAATACCATATAGCAAAATTGAATCAAGACCAGGTGAACAATCTAAATAGACCTATAAGTTGTGAGGAAATAGAAGGTGTCATAAAAAACCCTCCCAACCAAAAAAAGCCCAGGACCAGCTGGTTTTAATGCACAATTCTACCAGAACTTCCAAGAAGATCTGATACCTATACTTCTTAATGTATTTCACATAATAGAAACAGAAGAGTCATTGCCAAACTCTTTTTATGAAGCTACAGTTATCCTGATACCAAAACTACACAAAGACTCAACCAAGAAAGAGAATTACAGACCACGCTCACTCATGAACATGGGCGCAAAAATTCTCAATAAAATACTGGCAAACCGAATCCAAGAACACAGCAAAAAAATCATCCAATATGATCAAGTAGGCTTCATCCCAGAGATGCAGGACTGGTTCAACATACGAAAATCTATCAATGTAATCCATCACATAAACAAACTGAAAAAAAGCCTTATGATCATTTCATTAGCTGCTGAAAAAGCATTTGACAAAATCCAACACCCCTTTATGATAAAAGTGTTGGAGAGATCAGGAATACAAGAATCGTATCTAAATACAATAAAGGCAATAAACATCCAGCCGACAACCAACATCAAATTAAATGGAAAGAAACTCAAAGCTATTCCACTAAAAGCAGGAACAAGACAAGGCTGTCCACTCTCATCATATCTCTTCAACATAGTGCTTGAAGTTCTAGCAATAGCAATAAGACAACATAAGGGGATCAAAGGGGTTCGAATTGGAAAGGAAAAAGTTAAACTTTCGTTATTTGCAGATGATATGATAGTGTACATCAGTGACCCCAAAAACTCCACCAAAGAACTCCTACAGCTGATAAATACCTTCAGTGATGTGGCAGGATACAAGATCAACTCCAAAAAATCAGTTGCCCTTCTATACACAAAAGATAGAGAAGCAGAGAGGGAAATCAAAGAAAACTTCACCTTTCACAGTAGCCACAAATAGCATAAAGCATCTTGGAGTAACATTAACCAAGGAAGTAAAAGATCTATTTGACAAGAACTTTAAGGTTTTGAAGAAAGAAATTGAAGAGGACACCAGAAAATGGATCTCCCAATGCTCTTGGATGGGTAGAATCAACATAGTAAAAATGACAATCCTACCAAAGACAGTCTACAGATTCAATGCAATGCCCATCAAAATCCCAGCAAAATTCTTCACAGACCTCGAAAGAACAGTACTCAACTTCATACGGAAAAGGAAAAAACCAGGATAGCCAAAACAATCCTGTACAATAAAAGAACTTCTGGAGGCATCACCATCCCTGACTTCAAACTCTACTACAGAGCTACAGTATTGAAAACAGCCAAGTATAGGCATAAAAACAGAGACGTTGACCAATGGAATCGAATCGAAGACCCGGATATTAACCCACAAACCTATGAACACCTGATTTTTGACAAAGGAGCTAAAATTATACAATGGAAGAAAGAAAGCATATTTAACAAATGGTGCTGTCATAATTGTATATCAACATGTAGAAAAATGAAAATAGACCCATATCTATCACCATGCACAAAACTCAAGTCCAAATGGATCAAAGATCTCAACATAAAGCCAGCCACACTGAACCTTATAGAAGAGAAAGTGGGAAGTACACTTGAATGCATGGGCACAGGAGACCACTTCCTAAATATAACCCCAGCAACACAGACACTAAGAGAAACAATAAATGGGACCTCCTGAAACTGAAAAGCTTCTGTAAAGCAAAGGACATGGTCAACAAGACAAAATGACAGCCTACGGAATGGGAAAAGATCTTCACTAACCCCGCATTAGACAGAGGTCTGATCTCCAAAATATACAAAGAAATCAAGAAATTGGTCACCAAAAGAACAAATAATCCAATAAAAAATGGAGTACAGACCTAAATAGAGAACTCTAAACAGACGAATCTAAAATGGCTGAAAGACACTTAAGGAAATGTTCAACATCCTTAGTCATCAGAGAAATGCAAATCAGATCAACTCTGAGATTCCATCTTACACCTGTAAGAATGGCCAAGATCAAAAACACTGATGACATCTTATTCTGGAGAGGTTGTGGGGAAAAGGGAACACTTCTGTATTGCTAGTGGGAATGCAAGCTGGTACAACCCCAGTGGATGTCAGTGTGGTGATTTCTCAGAAAATTAGGAAACAACCTTTCTCAAGACCCAGAAATACCACTTTTGGGTATATATCCAAAGGTTGCTCAATCATGCCACAAGGACATGTGCTCAACTAAGTTCATAGCAGCATTGTTTGTCATAGCCAGAACCTGGAAGTAACCTAAATGACCCTCTACTGAAGAATGCATAAGGAAAATGTGGTACATTTACACAATGGAGTATACACAGCAGAAAAAAATAACATCTTGAACTTTGCAGGCAAATGGATGGAGCTAGAAAACATTATTTTGAGTGAGGTAACCCAGACACAGAAAGACAGTTATCACATGTACTCACTCATAGGTGTTTTTTAAACATAAAGCAAAGAAAGCCAGCCTACAAATCACAATCCCAGAGAACCTAGACAACAATGTGGACACTAAGAGAGACTTACATAGATATAATCTACATGGGAAGTAGAAAAAGACAAGATCTCCTGAGTAAATTGAGAGCATGGGGACTTTGGGGGAGGATTGAAGGGGAAGGGGAGAGGCAGGGAGGGGAGAAGAGAAAAATGTAGCGCTCAATAAAAATCAAAAAGGCAAAAATTAAATTGAAGCAATGAACAATTTAAAAATGACAATTCGTTGCACAGATATGACCCCTGCACATGTTCACATTTTTGAAGTGCTTTTTACCTTATACCTACCTAGCATTTGAGTGGGTCTGTGGAAACCTTATTTGCAGTTTCCCAGACTAAGATAGTTTTCTCTGAAATGCATCTTTTCTCCTAATGAAGATCCCCAACCACTTACTCTTCAACACTTAAACACAGGAGCGGGGGTGTGGCTGGGTACAATATTGTACCTGTGAGACCATATGTTAATTGCCCATCGCTGAAAATGAACAATCAATTGTTGAAATCCTATTTTTCTGTGACTTATCACTCACGAACTGACTCATGCACTTAGTTGTGCACTTTTCCTTCCCTCCACCTCCCCAATCCCCATACTTGCAAGAGCAAATTTCCTCTAGAGAATTACCCCACTGCCTATAACTACTTATGTAAGCAATATATGGTGAGATCCCTTGAGATAGGTTCCTAATGCCGATTCCCTTGCCCTCATCCTGTATTTTGTCAGCACTAAGAACTAATATTCATCACTGACCATGGGCATGAATGCTCAGAGTTAAAAATCTTTACAGATCCCTTGCAACATAAATACTTTGGCATCAGATACAGCCTGGTCATATCACTTTGATAAATCAGGACCACAGCATTTGAGCAATTATTTGAGAGGATCCCAGAAAGGTCCCTAACATTTCACACAGACTGGGAGAATGCTAGCAACATCCTTTTGTGATTTTCTCCTAGTATACCACGCTTTCCCTGTTATCCAAGTACGTGAGCCGGGTCTAGCATAGAGAGTTTGATGGTGTTCAAAAAGTTTTGCTCCCGGGGTTGGAGAGATGGCTCAGAGGTTAAGAGCATTGCCTGTTCTTCCAAAGATCCTGAGTTCAATTCCCAGCAACCATATGGTGGCTCACAACCATCTGTAATGAGGTCTGGTGCCCTCTTCTGGTCTGCAGGCATACATGGAAGGAATGCTGTATACATAATAAATAAATGAATATTTTAAAAAAAAAGTTTTCCTCCCAAGGACAGATATGGGAACAGGGAAGAAGATATCTTAATTAAGGGAGCCATTTTAGGGTTGGCAAGAGACTTAGCTCTAGAAGGGTTCCCAGGTGTCCAAGGGGATGTTCCCAGCTAGGTCCTTGGGCAGTAGAGGAGAGGGTGCCTAAACTGGCATAGCCACACTGATGAATATCTTGAATATCACCATAGAACCTTCATCCGGCAATGGATGGAGATAAGAGACAGAGACCCACATTGGAGCTCTGTACTGAGCTCCCAAGGTCTAATTGAAGAACAGAAGGAGGGAGAATATGAGCAAGGAAGTCAGGACCATGAGGGATTCGTCCACCCACTGAGATGGTGTAACTGATCTAATGGGAGCTCACCAAGACCAGCTGGACTGGGACTGAACGAGCATGTGATCAAACCGGACTCTCTGAGTGTGGCTGACAATGAGGGCGGACTGAGAAGCCAATGATAATGGCACTGGGATTTGATTTTACTGCATGTACTGGCTTTTTTGGGAGCCTGGTCTGCTTGGATGCACACCTTCCTAGGCCTGGATGGAGGGGGGAGGACCTTGGACTTCACACAGGGTAGGGTATCCTGCCCTCTCTTAGGACTGGAGGGGGAAGGGAGGGGGGAAGCGGGAGGAAAATGGAAAAAGGGGAGAAGGTGGAAATTTTGAATGGTATTATTTATAAAGCAATAAAATAAAAGAAGAGGTTCATCCTCCTTCGATTTTTTCCTCCTCGGGCCCAGCATCTCGACAGAGATCAGGGTGACACCCAATTCTGGACGGAAGAGAGCCTGACCATAGCCCACACGGAAGTTGGCAAGGAGGTCTCCCTGCATTGTCAGAGGGTCTCCTGATGTGGGCCACCATGTAGACTCCAAGCAGAGTATAGCACGGGGATGCAGCCCAGGACACCTAACACTGGGTTGACAGGTTCCGTCTCTTGTTGACCTCAACGGGCATCCATAATTCTGGAGGAGCTAGGAGCTAGGACCAGGAACTGTATAGAGAAGAATTCAGCCACAGAGCACTTTTCTCTAAGCCTACAGGACCCTGCCTCTCCTAACTCCTTTTGGACAGCTATAGCAGTTTTCCATTTGCCAGAGAAGCTGTGCGCATGCCCAACACTGAACGGGTGGAGGGCAAAACTCCTGGTGCGCTTGCTCTCATGGTCGCCAGGGGACAGCAGCGGGATTAGGCGGTTGGGAAAGAATTTAGGGGCTCAGAGGTCATGACAACAGAGAACTATCCTTGAGAAGAGAATAACGGGATTGAACTAGACCCCTCAGAGCGCAGCCGCAGATGCATTTCAAGTCTCTCCAGAGGGACTCGTGGGATAACTGTCATCCCTTCGGACTAACGGACACAGCCAGCGGCAGTAGATCCCAGCCAGGGCATAGGCAGGACGGGAGACAATGGACAAGGGCTTGGTGCGATCCCTGTGTGGAACTCAACAGCGGTGTGCAGTATTAGCACGATCCTGTGTCCATCCCAAGGGTGAAGAGAAAAGAGCCTGGAGACTCCCACGGTAGTGCAAGCCCGACCTTGGGGCCAGAGCTTGATTGTCTTTTTGCTCCTCTCTCTACTCCCCTGATTCCTCCCACCCATCTCTTCCTTTGAGTGGCTCCAGTCCCTCCAGGGGCTAATGCTCTGCCTTCTGGGCCAGACAGAGTACAACCTCAGCCTCTCCAAGACTTGTTGGTGACCATCTGAAGGAATTTTTCCTTTGAAAGCAAGCACAGAGCAGCCAGAGAATGTCCACCATGAGCAGAAACAAACACCACAAAGAGATCAAAGTCAAGCATGAACGTGAAGGCAAAGGTAAGATTGCAAACAGCTGTCTTGCTCTTTTGTGAGCCTGACTGGAGGTGACCAGGGGAAGGCTAGGTTCCTGCTTGAGGTCCCAGGGCTTCCTCCAAACCAGTCCTAACCTGCTCAGACCCGCTGGGTCAGGATACCAGGTAGCTTCCAAAGTCTTTCTATCTCCAACATTGAGGCATCTGGTTGGAGTTTGTCACATTTTTCTTAGTCTCTTCCTCTGTCCACACCCAGTTCTGAGCCTTAGGAATTCAGTGACCCTGCCTTGCCCTGTTCTGAGGCCAGACTTCACCCACCACCCCATGTACTGACCACAGCCTGTGTGCAGACTAGTCCGAGTCAACACACGGTAAAGTTATATGAAGAGGGAACCTCAATAGAGAAGAGTCCTCCATAAGATCCAGCTGTAAGACATTTTCTTAATTAGTGATGGCTAAGGGAGGACACAGCCCGTTGTGGGTGGTCCCATCCCTGGGCTGATTCTTGGGTTCTATAAGAAAGCAGGATGAACTAGTCATGGGAAGACAGCCAATAAGCAGCACCCCTCCATGGCCTCTGTATCAGCTGCTGCCTCCAGGTTCCTGCCCTGTTTGTGTTCCTGTCCTGAATGTCGTCCATGATGTGTAAGCCAAATAATCCCTTTCCTCCCCAACTTGCTTTTTGGTCATGGTGTTTCATCTCAGCAATAGAAACCCTAACTAAGACAGCCTGTGAGGAACCAGGATCACTCTGCTCGTATGCAAACGTGGGAATTGGCTGTTTTAATTCAGTAAGGCCAATCCCAGCCCAGATAAACTTACAAATTCACCCTTCCTCCCGAGCATGAGCTAGAAAGATAACTGACCGTTCATAGCGCGTAAATTCAGCTGCCCTGTAGAGCAGCTCCCTTATGGAGTAGCCCCGGGGACACCAGTTCTGGAATCTCCAGCCTCTCAGAGCAGTGTGCAGGAGTCTCCTTGGAGGGTACATGACCTGGATTTAGATGTGTGATTTTGGAGTATCCTGCTCCTTTAATTCAAGATAACTATTTGATCTGCTACTAAACAAAAGAAGACCACCCCTTCAGCTGCTGAAGGAAAAACCTGGCTTCCTAGGACTCCTTAGGTTTGTTCCCAATGAATAAAGTCATATGTGTGAACTCCAGGACGCTTGGGAAGGGGGATGGATGATTCTGAATGATTTCCATTATAGCTGATTTTCCCCCTTACATTTGAACTTAGAGCCCAACAGGCTAGGGGTTTTGGTCTTTCTTTCTACATCCATTTTCCTGATAACATTTGCATTTACCTCAGAATACAATATTTTGTTCTGACAAAATAACTCAAGATCTCAGATTTTATCTCTTGGCTGCTTGCAAAGGTTTTGAGAACAAAATTCCCTGCAGCTTTCATCAGTCTCTGGTTATAAAGTGTGATTTCATGTGTGCGGCCTTAAGTGCATTGAGTTCATTAAGTTCATTGATTCATGATGTAGAGACTCTTGTTTGTCTCTGGGGTGTTTTTTTCTTATCTATGAAGACGCAGTAAGAGATGTCTTTTATGTGGTGGCATTAGTGAGACATACTGATTTAACAACACACATCAGTTGTTCAGAATGGACAGCTATTATTTGAATCCCTCCTAGGAGGGAAATCCCACCCTAATCCCCACTCTCCACTCCATGGGATATGTACAGGAAAGATCAGAAAAGTCTGTTTTTCCATGGCCACTCTGCTATTTGAGGTTCAGAAAGTACATTTCAGGCAACCACATGGTGGCTCACAACCATCTGTAATGAGGTGCCTTCTTCTGGCCTGCAGAATATTGTATACATAATAAATAAATAAATAAATAAATAAATAAATAAATAAATAAATAAATAAATAAAAAGAAAGTACATTTCAGTACCAGACAGCATGTACGGGAACACCAATTTAAGATGATATGACTCCATGTCATGCTACAGATTTAAAGCATAGTTAAAAATTCCTTGTGTTACTAACATGGTCAGGGAATCTGCTTTACTGTTCCCACATAGCCTGGAATGGAAAAGGACAACAGTTTCCATTAGGAGATAAAAGTTTACAGTTGGTAGGGACAACAAACATTTGTTTTTGACCTACACAGTCCTTTATATGATGTAGGGAGTCCTTGTGACAGATACATAATTGTATAACTAACTATAACATCACTGAGACTAGAAGCAGGGTCCATCTCCTTTGATGAGTGATGGTGTTTGCAGGTCAAAGTAGACGGGGGCAGAATTCACCCACTGATAATTCACTCCATGATGGACTCAGCAGAACAAAAACTTGAAGTCATCGAATTATCTATACTGGGGTTTTTATTTTTTTAATATTTATTTATTTATTATGTATACAATATTCTGTCTGTGTGTTTGCCTGCAGGCCAGAAGAGGGCACCAGACCTCATTACAGATGGTTGTGAGCCACCATGTGGTTGCTGGGAATTGAACTCAGGACCTTTGGAAGAGCAAGCAATGCTCTTAACCTCTGAGCCATCTCTTCAGCCCCTGGGGTTTTTATTCTTTTCTTCCTTGTCAATATGTTTCAAGGGACCTCAATGGTCAGAGAACAACTTCAGGTGGTGGCCTTTACTATCAAGAAAAACAATGTTGTCAATGTGTACGCACATTTTTCTTGTCATTTTTTGAAAAATAATTTAGTCACTGCAATGAACCCCTATTTCAACTACCTTCCCTGACTACAAATATATTGAGGGAGAGTTTGGGGATGGTTTTGAACAGATCATGTCCTTCTGAAAGACGGTGACATTTAGGGGGCATTGCAGGCTGGGAAACCCCAGCTCCAAACATCTGCATTGCTTTGCTGACTCCTAGGTTAACCAGCAGGAGCCACACTGCTTCAGCCCCATGGTAGATTCAGACGTGGTTTTATCACACCCTTGTTTTTTTCTTTTAATCTTTTTCCAGACTTCCTTCTCTTTCTTCTTTTCCTGCTCCTCTATTGGTCTTCTTGGAGCCAGGCAGGTCTGGAACTTTCTGTAGCTCAGAATTACTTTCAACTCCTGACCATCCTTCCTTCACCTCCCAGGTACTGAGATTACAGGTGTGCAGCATCATGTGTGACATTATATACCTACCTCGTCTAATGTTGCTCACGCTGCCTAGTTTATAAATTAAAAATAGCGTTTGTTGTCTGTTATTCTTGATAGATAATTAGGTGACAACATTGTTATTTCTGTATCCAGAGTTATTTTCTAATTTATTGACCAATTTATTGACATTATATGTGCTGCCCTGTTGACATCTCGTGGGCAGGGATGGGGCGCAGTGTTTAAGCACAGGCACTGCTGTTAGCTCTCTGGCCTTGCAGTGCCTGCAGTTGCCAGAAGAGGCCATTGGATCCTCTGGAACTTGAGTTACAGATGAGGCCATGTGGGTTTGGAACCTAACTCAGGTCCTCTGCAAGAAAATGAGTGCTCTTAACCACTGTGGCATCTCTGCCTCTCTAAGTTCTCTGTACGGTAGACTTTATTCTCATGATTATTATTTCATTCTCATGAGAAGTACTAACTTGAAAAATGATTTTTCTGAGACTCGGTGATCATGTTTGCTTGTGACTCTGTTTTAGATTTTCTTTATTTCCATTTAATAGTGCCACATGGAAAATAAAACCATAGACCACTCCCTGAGTTCACCTGGGGTTAAAGCTTTCTTACAATGCCAATCAAGTCACCATGTTAATTCCATAGTATTTGAGAAAGGACCTCACTCAGCAGCATAGGCAGAACTTTCTCTGTACCAAGCGTGGAGTGGAACCTGGATCTTCACATCTCTATCTCCCTAGGTTAGAGCTACAGCATGTACAGCCACATCTAACTAGTCTCACAGTTTATAACTGTTTTCATTTTAAAAATTAGTCTACATAGCAAGTTCCAGGATAGCCAAGTGTGCATGAGGGACCCTGTGTAAAAAATCTAAACAAAAAAACCCCACAAATATCCACAAACCTAAATAACAATATTATAAGTAATATTGGTAGTACTAATAGTAATAGCAATAATAAAAAGTGACCTAAAATACAGTTTTCTGTTATGATTATTATCATTATAACTGTTATTATTATTATTATTTTGAGACAGTCTCACTGTTGCTCAGGAGGGTCTAGAGGTCATGTCATAGCCCATGTTGGTCTTGAAATCCCAACTGTCTTCTTCCCGAGGTCTCTGTGGTGCTGAGGTTAGGAATGTGACAGTTATTTAAAAGATTTCACTGTGCATTTGAACACTCACTCCATATGCTTGTGTTAAAATGACTTCTTGACCCAGTCTTTCTCACTAGTGTTTATCTGATTTCTTTGAAGGTTGTTTCTGTCCCAGAGATTTGAATTCTAACCAGATGAGGTGCATAGCTGTAATGTCAGCCTTGGGAGGCTAAGTCAGATTTTTTTTTTTTTTTAGTGTAAAGCCATCCTGGGCCACATTGCAATACCACTCACACCAAGGAGAAAAAGAAAAGGAAGGGAGTCAACGCTGACTTATTGACCTTATGTCTGGCTGTTCTGTCAGTCTGCCATTTCACTGGGGGTCATAATGATATCCCAAGCACCACAGAGTAGCTACTTTGGATTCTGGTATCTTCCTTTTCCAAGTACAGAGAAAGGCCTTTTTACTGAGAGAAAATTCCTTCCCTGGAGTAATTATGATGGACACCCCTTAGCCAGGCAAGACTGGCTTTGCAGACAGAAAGTGAACAGCTGTCCTCTCAGGCACCCATGCAGACCTTTCATCTGGTCTTCTGAGGACTTCCTAAGAGGTTGGTCTGCATTAGAAGACAGTACTTGCTCACCTCTGTGTTCCTTTCTTCATCAGTCTCATAGCTTCTGGTTACTTTACACAATCCCATCCTTTATCCCTATCTGTCACTGTGGATGTCTTTGTTCATACAATCTGTTCATACTCAATGCATAGTGGCCTATATTTTTACTGTAGGAGAATGCGATATTATAAAATATACTTAAGCAAATGCACCTAGAAGGAGAGCTTTTATTTGGGTTACAGGTGGCATTCAATCATCCAGCGAAACCAAGTGAGGACCCGAGAGCAGGAGCTGAACCAGGGCCTCTGACGGACTGCTGCTTGCTGCCTTGCTCTACAACAGAGCGGAACAAGAATGGGTTGTGGAACAGCACTTGCTCAGGTGGTACTCTCTTCTTTTGAAAAATTAATTTAGTTTCAATTAACATATACTTAAATCCTCATCCTCTCCTCGCTATAACCTTTCCCATTCACTCACATGCTGCCCAAGGCTATGTCTGGGTCCACGGTCCACGGCCACTGGGGTCTCTGTTGATGTCCGTGACCCACATTGCCACTAAGGCCATGGGGAGGCCTGAGGTCTGTTTCGCAAACTGTGGTCATTTTGGTGTCAGACTTCATTGCCGCTATTGGGATCATGTTGGTCTGGGTAGAATGTGCTGCTACTATGGGACACGGTGACATCTGGTCCAAACTGCTCCCAGGGGTCATGATTAGGTCCAAAGCCCTGCATCAGCCAGGGTCTGAGTTGATGTCCATGGTGCCTGTTACCATCAAGGTCAGAGTGGATGCCTGGGGTTTGGACAGTTACCAGAGACCCAGTTCACCAAAACCTCTAGATATCTGTCCGTCTTTAGAAAAAGGTGGTTCATCACAGCAAGTTCATCCTATTGGCTTCCTATCTGCTGTTAAATAACCTTTTCCCTCCACCTTGTCTCGCAGTGTTTCAGTGGAACGTTCAGGCTCACCTAAACAGTATCAGGTATTTTCTGTACCTATGAATCCAGGCAGACAATACTCATGGCGGGGGGTGTCTTTTACTACCAGTCTCCAGTTTACATCTAGATGAATTAGCGTAAGTTCCTTTGCAAAGAGGTTTACTTCCTGGGCTCATCTCTGACTGACTATAAGCTGGTATAAAGGAAGGCTCTAAATACATGAATTGGGTACCCTTCGTTTTGATTGCTTGACATCTGAAAATTCACATAAAAATTGATGACTTCACTTTGAGACATTGGCTGTAGTGTCTACAGGACTCCTCTAATAATTCACAGGTCCAAGTCGTGGCCTAAAATCTCATTTTATGGCCCTCCCCTGGGCCTAGTGCACCTCTAATTTTCTTTTCCACGTTTGCTGTTACCTCAGGGCTTTGGTGTTTGGTTGGTCCTCAGAAGCCTTTTTTATTGCGGCAACTGGTATTGAGATGCTGCAGTTGAAGATGCCATTGCTGACACTGTCTATGCAGATTGGGCAATAGGTTCCTCCCAGAAATTCAGGCATGGAGTGGTTTTCCCTTCTGGTCATTGTCTAGGATTATTCCAGTGCTCTTCCATGTATCCAGAGTTTTGTCCTCTGAACACCTCTTTTCACTTTTGACTCACTAGTGTTGTTCTGACGGTGCAGGGAGATTCTTTTGACTTAAATGGGAAAGGCCACTCAGTCTTCTTCCAGGTGTCCACAGGTCTTGTGTGTGCTCTGTGAGGGTCAGAATCTACATGCTCACCGGTTAGGAGATCTTCCGAGACAGTAGTTACTTTTCCTTGTGGTGTTTCTGAACACCTTCCCCCGTGTTTCAGTCGGTGAGCTTGTGCCCACTGAGACCATGCTCAAATGTCAGCTCATTACAGCTTCTTCCTGAGAATCTTTGGCACACTCTTGCCTCCTGAACAGCCATCAACACTTTCCCTGGGGATTCCATATCTGACCGCTACTAGGGTCTTCATACCCAATCTTTTTTTCATCGTGTCTCTGTTTCGGCCTCTTCCAAAGCTTGGCTGGCTCCTCAGACTACACATAGACAACTCTCTCTTCCTGCCATTTCCTCTTTTGAACTTTCCCTGGCTTTTCAGGGCTCATGACTCCACGCTGCTGGTGAGGTTGCCCTGCGGTACTTGGATTGCTCTGCTCAGGTGCTAGCTGTTGGCTGTACTACAGCTTTCTGATTTCCAAGTCAATGTACCAGCCAGCAGGACTCTTGGATGGGTGTGCCTGTGTTGTCCTCTAGATGGCTGAAGCATAGCTTAATCCAATAGGAGATGTCTTATCCTTTCTGGACGTGTTAGCTCAGTGTCAGGAACCACTGGGTGAAGAGCTCAGATTTCCTCTTTATCAGTGGAGTTTGCATTTCTTGACTACATCAATGAGTACTTCTCAGTTGGTGTATCTATCCATTTGACCTTGCCTGAAAAGCGGCAGCTGAGCAGGCCCATTGTAGAATGCTCCATGGAGGTCAGGCACTGCCTTTTCTGTTTTTGGAGAAGTGGGACTCCAGGGTACAGTGAGTCTTTGTAGACCCCATTATTGTCGAATCACACTGAGCCAGGACCCCCAAGGACCCCAGACCTTGGCTTCCAGCCGTGCTAGGAGGCAAGGCTGCTCTGTGCCCCAGTTCTTGCCCTGGCTATAGGCTTGCAGGTTTCATAGCTGGGTTTGGTGTAGTTTCCTAATTCGTGATAAAATTTAATGGTAAGTGAGGCACTGTCACCATCATCCAGGTCAAGGGTCTTAAAACTTTTTTCCAGCCCTGGAATTTCTGTTGGTCTGTGCCTGTCCCAAAGACTGAAGAAAACCCAAACTCAAGGGGGCAAAGGTGGAGCTCTGCCTCCAGAAAGGGAGAAAATGTTGGAAGAGAAGCTAATACACTTCAGTTAATTTTTCTGACATGTAATCTAGGAAAGAGGTGTGTATCCTTGGAAGGATTTATACACATGTCCCTTCCCCTCTGCTGAACAGAGAATTATACTCAGAGATACATTTTTCTTTCTTTCTTTTCCTTTTGTTGTTGTCTTTTATAGAAAATAGATACTTTTCTTGTGGTCTTAAAAATTGCTGACTTCCCTGTCTCAAAAAGCAAAAACAAAAAAACAAACAAACAAAATTGCTAACTGTTACAAATGATTTAATTGCCTCAGCCATTCCTAAAAGGTCACACGATTAAAGCGGCTAACTGCCTAGTACTGCTTTTGTGTGAAGTGCTTGCTTGCTTGCTTGCTTGCTTGCTTGCTTGCTTGGATGACTGAGTCCTCTGCTGGGCATCTGTTCCAAAGTCAATCTTTGCCCATACCCTGAAAGCATACGATTTAATATGGCTCCACAAAATTATGTCTTTGAGGGTTTTTCTGTTTTTAAATAATCTTATTTTTACTTTACAAGCATTGATTTTTTTTTCTGCGTGTTTATCTGTGGGGGGTAAGAGGATACCCTGAAACTGGAGTTGCAGACAGATGTGAGCAGCCACGTGGGTGCAAGGAATTGAGTCTGGGTTCATTGGAAGAACAAACAGTGCTGTCAACTGCTGAGTCAGCTCTCCAGCCCAGGTTTTACCTTTCTAGTCTGACTAAGAGTAGTTAGGCCTTATCTAGCAAATTCTTCCTGGTTTTGTCCTATCCAGTCTCATTTTTATTAAAAGCCTCTAATTTACAAAAATCAAAATTTCAGCCACACTGGTGAATCTCCGAATGACCCAAGATCTAAAACATTTAGAGGACCCAGCAAGATCTGTGCATTCAGGTAGTAGCTGCCAGCTTTTTCTGACTGGCCTTGTTGTCGGGGTACTCTCAGCCTGGTGACTGGTGAATCAGAAAGGCTTAGTCACTGGGGGACTCAGGCAAGTACCCAATGCCTAAACTTCAAAGAGGAGTATTCAGTTCTTGAGGGCTGACAGTCTCAGGCCAAAACATAGATGAGAGAGGCCCAGTGTTGTGGATGTCACTGGTGAGTTCCAGGCGTGGTGGCAGAGGAATATGAGAGGCCATGTGTTTGCAGGGGGCATCAGCAATTTTCCAACAACAGAAAAGGAAAAAGGAGGCACCTTAAAGTCTCTGAAGTTCTAGGTAATGAACCGGTCTGCTGTAGCACACAATCCTGATACTTATAGGAAAGCTGAAAGCAGCATTATTTCCATAACCAGAGGGACTCAGAGAACTCTGGGGACTCTTGGGAGTCCAGAGGATCAATTTTGGAAGAGGCAGCAGCCTCCACATTTCAGTTCCTTGCCTTGTTTTGTGTCTTACTCTGCTTTTTTGTATGTTGTTTATTTTTGAAAAAAAGTCTGAAGCGATGGGTCAAAAGAGCTCGCTCAGGAGATCCCTCTGAACTTGATGAAATCCCACTTGAAGGACTTCCAGAGAAAAGCTCAGGAGTCTGGAGAACATGTTTTTGTAAGAAACCAGTTGGCTTTTGTTCCTCTGATTGTCCTTCATTGTATGTGGGCTATCCAGCTGAAGGCTCCTTTAGCCTTTTCTTATTTACAGGGTACAACATGCAAATTTTAGTTAACTGGGGCATTTGATCAAAGCGCCCTACACTCTGGCCTGGATGTTCCTGCAGAGAACTCCCTATCCTTGATAAAGAAGGAGAAGCCAAAGTATTCCCATTGCCACTCTTTAGTTTCAGAAGAAATATACTCAGAGTATAGGACAAAGTCTTGCCCATATTCTGGTCAGTACAGTCAGAAGAGAAAGAAGTGCTGTCACCCTATGTCCCTTAAGTACAGGTCATAAAGTGAAGCCAACCAATGGAGAGGCCCCCAGGCCCTTCTCGCTTCCCCCAGTCACGTGTTAAGTTATCCTAGTCCCCAGGGCTGAACTGGTGGAGAGACTTACAATCAGAGGCAATATTGTGTCCTATGCACACCTGGACAGATTCCACTATAAGCCCCAGTGTCCTGGTCACTCGCTTCCATCTGGCTCTGGTTCCCAGTTTCCCTCCAGTTTTCTGTCAGAGACCCATCCCCACCCACACTCGTAGTAGTAACAAATTTCCCCAGTGCTCCTCCTTGAGAGACATGATCCACTGCCCCCAGGTTGGTTGCAGCAGGATATGATTCCCTTGCTTTTCCCCAGCAGACTTCTCCTTGGTTCCTTGCTCCAGCCATTCTCCCCTTGAGAGAAGCCTTCTCATGGATGGGACCCAGAGGGAGGGGGACCAGATGAGAAAAGTCACCAGTCATTTATTTTACACGATCCTTTGTCTACTAGAGATCTATATAATTGGAGATCTCAAAATACTCCCTTCCCCAGTAAAATCCCCAAAGCTTGAATACCCTACAAGAAATGATGTTTTTCAGACACAGTCAGCTGAGCATCATGTCAGCAGCTGCTTCATGCCCTCTTCACAGCCAAGGAGAGGAAAATAATTTAGAAACCGAGAAATATGTCTTTGGAAATGTCAGAAAAACAACAACTGACCCTATGTTTATTGAAGAAGTTTTCCCTGTCATACAGCTGGATTGGTACCTAAGTTCTGGTGAAGGTAGGAAGTCTCTCAACCACTTTCACCAGACTCTGTAAGGGGGTCTCTGGGCAACGCGCAGAAGCCCACAAATTTAACTAAGGGAAGCCAGATAACTCGGGCCTCAGATGAGTCCCATTTGCTTTTCTGGAGTGCCTCCTAGAGAGCTTTCAGGCTTAAATCCAATTGACCTGGAGGCCCCAGGAAACCAGAGGATTATTGGTATGGCTTTTGTTTCCTAGTCAGCACCAGACAGAAATTAGAGAGTAAATTCAGACAATAGAAGAGTTTGAAGGAAAAGTATTGTCAGAGTTAGCTGAGGGTATACAATAAAAAAATAGCGCACAGGGCAGACAGACTAGGAAACTATCTAAGATCATGGTGGCCACCTACCAAGTACAAGTATCTTGACTTTGAGGATCTGCAAGGGAAAGGCAAAGACTGAGGGAAACAGACATGAAAGAAATAAACATTTTTAGGGAAAACATCGTGCATAGTGCAAGGAAACAAACTGTTGGGAAGATGAATGCCCACGATACTGCTCATGTGCATCCTGCCGGGAAATGGACAATTGGAAAAATGGTTGTCTGACCTGAGAGCACAGGTCTGCATCTGGGTTCCAGCTAAGGACAGACTGATGGTGTCCAGACACTGCCACTCCTGGATCCCAGTATTAGTCTGATGGGGTGTGTGTGTGTGTGTGTGTGTGTGTGTGTGTGTGTGTGTATGTGCTCCTGTTAAATTTCTTGAAGACATGGGAGTCACCTGCTCAGCTCTAAAATGGACAGGCAAGCCAATAACAGAAAAAAAACAATAATATGAGCAGCTACCAGTTCAAAGAGTTGCCCCCTGGATCACCAAAAATCTATAGATTTACAAAAGAAGACAGCCACTCAGACTTTCCTGGTAATGTCTAAATGTCCATACACTCTCCGAGAAGTGATCTGCGTCATAAACTAAGGGCAGAAACAAATTGCGAAAAGAATGAGGTTCTAATTGTCTGAAAGGATCCTTAATTAACAGATAGAGTTCTGCTAACCAAGCCACTGGTGGACAAATACATCCTTTTAAACAACCCCCTCTAGATTAAGGATCAGAACTATTAAAAGTCTTACAGTAAAACTTTTTTTTTAAAAATCCCTTCTTTCTGGGCAGAAGCAAACCCACCAGGACTAGCATGCCACCAAAGCCCTGAAAGTAGAACTGGGAAGCAGCGCTAGTCCTCTCAGGGTAAAGCAATACCCTGTGACTTGGGAAGATAATCGTGGAATCAAAGTCCTCAATAACAGGGGTGTGAAACTGGCACACTGGTCCCTTGCCACTTCTCTTGGAAACTCCTTTCCCGCATGTCAGAAAACTAGGAATACAGAATTCTAGGCTAGTCTAAGGTCTTCAGGTGACGAACAAGAGAGCACAGGACATTCATCCGACGACTCCTAACTGCACGTACAGTCTTCTGTTCACTCCCTTCTCACCTCCTCCACCCTGAGAAGCGGGTCAGCTCTGCTAGATCTGAAGGATGACGACTTCCGTTTTCCTCTGGCTGAATCAAGCTAACTGATATTTGCCTCTGAACGGATAGTTAAAAGAGATCAAGGGCCAATCAAAATGAACTAGATTACCTCCGGGTTTAAAAACTTTTTCAACTTTGTTTGATGAACCTGCCACAGAGACTTGCAAACACTCCGGTCCACCACTGAAAATGTCCCACTCCTGCAATCCATGGATGACCTCCTGCTGTCAGCAGAGTCTGAGAAGGACTGTCTCCACAACGCAAAGCAAGTACTGGAAACAGCAACTCCAGGGATATCGGGTCTTTGCAGAGAGGGCTCAGCTCTGTTCCCCTAAGGCAGCATACCTGGGGATGAACTGCAGGAAGGGAAGAGATTGCTTCCCCCTCACAGAATCCAGGCAATTACTCAGATCCCAGCCCCTGAGACACTGAGACACAGAGACAATCTGGGACTTCCTTGGGCTGGAGGATATTCCTGGCTCTGGATACTCAGGTTTGCTGAGTTAGCCAAGCTATTATACGTTCCGCTTGGGGCACTGAAGAAGCTTAGTCTGGTCTCCAACAGAGAAACAGGCCTTGGAGAATTCGAGAAGCCTCTGGCTTTGGTTTCAACATCAGCCCTGCCTGACATTGCTGAGGATTTTCAGCTGTTTGTGAATGAGAGGAAATGCATTGTCCCAGATCTGAACGCAAAAACTAAGACTGTGGCAATGTCCTGTTGGTGAGTTCTCTAAGAAACTGGATCCAGTAGCAGCAGGATGACCAGGATGTCTGTGGGCTGTAGCCACCATGGCTCTCCTAACACAGGAAGTGAACAACCTGACTCTGGGGCAAGCTGTCTTGATCATGTCCCCACATGAGTGGGAAGGTCACTTGAGGAAGACTCCACACAAATGTATGACTAACTCTCCTATAACCCTTTATCGGTCCTTATCCTAGCCCAGCCAAGAATCAAATTTGATACAACAACTACCCTGAGTCCAGCCACTTTACTTCCAGAACTGAAGATGCTGTCATCCAATATGACTGCTTAGAGGTCATCCCCACAATTCAGAAACTGAGGACGACCTGACAAATGTCCCATCTCATCGGTCACCCTGGGTAATGTTCTCAGGTGGTAACAGTTTCATCTAGGGAAGTAAGGTATCCTGGGGCAGGTGAAGTGATGGATCACACCGTTTGGACAGAGATCCTTTCCCCAGGGACTTCATCTCAGAACGGGGAATTTGGTGTGCTCACCAAGGCTCTCAATTGAGAAGAGGAAATAATATAAATACATGTGCTAACAGTAGATATGCCTTTGCCACTGTGCATGCGCATGGGCCGTCTACCTGCAGAAGGGCCTCTTAGGAACAGAGGAAAATGGTATCACAAATAAGACGGTGATATTGGACCTGGGATCTACAATTTCAACCACAAGACAAGTTGCCAACATATACCGTCCTGGTCAACATGAAGGAGATTCATAGAGGAAATTGGAAACAGAATGGTCGACAAGTCAGCAGGAGAGACTGCCTTAAAAGTGGTAGAATGCCTCCTTATATCCCAGAACCCAGACTGCCTGAGAAGCCACGTCGCCCAAAAGAAGACAACCTGGAGACAAAAGAACATGGCCCCTCAAGGTTGGCTTAAACACACTGGTGAAACAAAATTGTTCCATTGCGTTGGAAGACACTTGGCTGATCAACTCCATGAGGGGACTCACCTGGGAAAGCCAGGTTAACTGAACTTAGGAGGATAAGATTCATTTTCACAAGAATGGACCAGATGATAGAAGTTGTTTCCAGATGACAAGCCTGTCAACAAACAAATGCTTCCTCAGGAATGGTGCCACCTCCAGGGGTTAGATAACATTCAAGAGCAGGCAGATTCTAGGTAGTAGATTTACAGTCAGGCAATAATAATATGCATACACATATTCGCTTGTTCTTGTGGCTACCTCTTGTGGGTAGAGAGATTTCCCACCAAGACTGCTTAGAATACAGCTAAGAAACATTTAAGTGAGCTAATGTCTAGGTCTGGACTACCCTTGTCCATAGGGTCAGATTAACAGGTCAGTCTTTCTACCTAAGGTCAGTGAAAGTATTTTTGCTGTTGTGGGGATCAATTGGAAATTACATTGTGCAACTCATCCCCAAAGTGCAGGACAGTAAAGAGGATAAATTGGACCCTAAAGGAGACCTTAAATAAATTAACCTTAGAGACTGGTGAAAGTTGGGTGGGGCTTCTTCCCATTGCCCTCCTTAGGCATCCCTGACTCCTCATGTAAAAGGACTGACTCTATTTGAACTCCTTTTCTGAGAGGCTTCCTCTTATCCACCAGCAGATAGAATTGGAACTAGTTGTTGAAATTATTAATCATCAATTACTTCAATGTGTGCAGGCTTTGCAGCAATCTCAGGTTGTGGTCTCCTCAGTTAATGCTACCCTCCCGAGGCCAATACTTCATCTACACCCCTTGTAGACAGGAGATGAGGTGTGGATCCAGAGACATGGAAGTGAGGATTTAGGACGTTGCTGGAAGGATCCTACCTGATCATGCTTACTACCTCAACTGCTGTCAAGGTAGATGGTATCCACACCTAGATACACCACTTCCCTGATTTAATCAAGGGCATCACAGAGGGACAAGAAGGCCCAGTTGCGGGGAAAGCCTTCAATCCAGCTCCAGAGAGGTGGATCATCAGCGGACACAGAAAGGGCGACTAAAGAGAAGACGGACTCAGCTTTCATTCCATTATATGTTAATGCTTATGCTATGTGTACTTGTGTCTGATTATGCTGTATGTACTTATGTATGATTACATTATATGTACTTAGGTATGATTATGCTGTATGTACTTATGTATGATTATGCTGTATGTACTTATGTATAATTATGCTGTATGTACTTATGTATGATTACGTTATATGTACTTATGTATGATTGTTATATGTAATTAAGTCTGATTATGTTGCCTCCCTTAGTGTTTTGGGATCCAATGCGGAAAACCCTTCTTCTCCCTCAAACGCCTATACCCCTCACAGTAGTTTAGGGTTAGGAACATCTGTAGACTCTCTTGGTGCAACCAGCACAGCATGGCTCACTCTAACTCCAGGATCTTAGGGTGCCAGGAAACCCAGGATTTACTTGCATTGGAAAAGTGTACTGCAAAGTCAGAGGAACAGGTGGGCTCTTCAGCCGAGGTCGTCTTGGAACATGGCAGGACTCATAACCTACTCCATACAGAACATGGAGGGTACCGCATGAACAACTCATAGAAGAGGGAAAGACTGCATAGAGGTAGTCCAGGGATTCCGTTTTCATAATCAGTTTTCTCTTGGCTGGAATCTGTACTGTTAGCTGTTGCAGGACCTCTGGACCTCCATTCCTTATGATTACATTGGCCCTGCACCTTTAATGCTATAACTAGATATAAAAATTCATACTTAGGAGCCATTACCCTGAGGGTTGTTTGGTCACGATATGAGCAGGTACCCACTGCAATGTCACGGATTTGACAAAATATCAGAGTAAAACTGTTATTTGACATTGGAGAAAACTGCATCATGATAAATCCATCACAAAGTGAAATAGTGTAAGTCGAAATAGCATTGAATCCACCTAATCTCATGGGCACTGTCTCTAAATCTGTCCTGCCTTCAATAGCTGCAGGACACTTTCATTAGACTAGAGTGGGGCAAAATCATCTAACACTGTAACAGGGCCCCAGACCTCAGCACAGTTGACTCCATGACAGAAGTACAATTCAGGCCAGAATCTTAGTACATACACAGTATTCATCACCTGCTACAATAAAACGCAAAGGTTTAATCCATCAAAGTCCATAATTCTGGAAAAGTCTCTAAATGTCCTAACTTGCTATTTGGATTCTGTAGTTTCACATCTGGCTAACTGTTCTTGTACCTGAAAGGTCTCAACCCACGATATGTGTTTTATGCTCAAAAACTCACCCTGAGAAAGACTGGGGGCTGCACTGGGATTGTGAATGATCCTGACTACCCAGTGTGGTCGCCAGCCAGCTAATAAAGACGTCCTATAGACTTGAGCCTGTGTCTAAGTAGTCTTCTCTGGCAGATACATCATAACAATACAGTCTACATTCGATTCAAGTTTTTATATGTGAAGTTATCGTGTATAGGTGTGTGAGAGGGTGTGTGTGTGTGCATGCACGTGTCACAGCATGTGTTTGTGGAATCAAGACTCAGCTTCTAGGAGCTGAGTCTCTCCATCCATGATGGGCACCGGGGTAGAGCGCAGCTTCACTGGCTTATCTGGCTAACACTTTCACCCTGTCAGTCCTGCTTCACACACCCCTTTTCTCTAGTAAAGTATAGAGTGATGTGATCCCTGAACAGAGTGCGGAACATTAGCTAGAAAACATAAAGTTACGAAGAAACACGGCAGGGATAAGACACACCTTCAAGATCAGCATGGTCGAACTTGTAATTACAGTTTTCCTGTCATCCCTGTCGTGTACCATTTGCGTGAAAGGTCTTTTGGCCCAGACCCTTCTCTTATATCTAAATACGTTCATTATAAAAGGACAGGCGGGGACTAAATAAATGGTTCAGTGATTGAGAGTACTTGCTGCTCTTTTAGAAGTCCCAAGTTTGATTCTTCAAACTCACCTGATGGTTCACAAATCCCAGGGGACCTGAGCCCTCTTCTGGCTTCCATGGACAACAGGCATGCATGTGGTACACAGACACACATACAGGCAAAGCACCCATACATACAAAAAATACATTAGAGATGTTAAAGTAGACAGCTGCCTCTGCCTATTTCATTTTAACTTCCATTATTCAAAGAGACAAGAACAAAGCACAAAACCTCGAGGTTCAAGCAGCGGTGCTGCTGCTAAGGACTTTCTCTAAAGGTCCAAAGTCTGAAAACCACAGTCAACATAAAACTACTGCTTCTTCCAGTTCCTGCCTTTTGAGACAGTTTCACTGAGTAGCTCCCATGGCTACTCTTGGTTGTCAAGATGACTTCATCTGGAAAGTCTAAAACCAAAGGTATGTGCACCCCTGAACATGATTTCTCTTGATTGGGTCACTTGAAGTGTGAAGACTTCCCTAAGACAAGGCCACCCCTTCCTTTGCCGATACAAAGGGTAGGAAGAAGGAGGCTTTTGCTCCTTGCCTGTTTACTCTCGCTCTCACTGGCCAGTTCATTGTTTCACTGGTATTAGAGCCTGCTTCTTCAGGATTCCAGAATACACTGAAGAGCAGCTAGGCTAGTCAGCCTTGTAAACCAGATATTATATTCTCAGATTTATTGGGAGATAACTGTTGTTGGGATAATCAGACCACAGCCTATAAGCCGCTCTAACCAATCCCTTGTATACTTGTATGGATCTATTCATTATATCAGCTCTGTTTTTTTAGAGAACAGTGACTAACACAGTAGCCTAGGGTGGCCTCCAACCCAGGTGATCCCCCCACATCATGCCTCCCAGGTAAGGAGATTAGAGGTGTGAGCCACGGGCACCTCCACCTTCTTGTTAATTTACACTGAATTTTCCGTTTAGCACCCCTGCACATCCATTACAAAGCATAGTAAGCAAGGTATTATGAGATTTCTCAGACTATGATAAAAAGGAGGAATTAGACCATTGGAAGAATTCTGCGAGAGACCGCCACTAAACACTTGTGCAAAGCTGTGGAATAAATGACACCAAGTGTAATCAACGTAAACCATGAGCCTCAGACAATATTAGTGCTGCCAGTGGTCAGGAATCTATACTGCTGTTTTCAGGTTCTTCAAAAATGAAATAAAGGCTCACAGAGATTGCAAAATAGCGGAGATCCTTCATTCAAAAGCCAAGTGATAGCACTGATCAGAAGGAAACTTGTTAAGAGTGGCATCAGTCTATAGGAGTGAGGGTCCTCAAGCACCCCAGTTGTAGTTGAGTTTCCTTTTGTGGGGTTCAGGAGGAAGAGTCCATGCCCTATTTACCAACCTCACACCATATTCACTGGGCACATACCTGTGTCTCTCCGAAATGATGTGAAAAGAAGGTCGCCTCTAAGAATCTTCCACCAAAATACAAGGCAAAAGAGAGCCAAAGCTGCCCTCTGCTTCTGAAAATATGGGCAGAAGTTATCCTCATTTGCTAAGACATCTTTTTGCCTGACTTTACTCTGGTACTTACTATGCCACCTTTCATTCTGACCGTTGAATTGCAGCTGACCCTTCTGGTCTGGTCTAACTTTGGCTGTTTTTCTTTCAGTGCTAATACCATGGTTTAAAAGTAAGCAATGGGAAGTCCAAGGTCCTCTCCCCTCCATCCAGGTCTAGGAAGGTGAGCATCCAAACAGACTAGGCTCCCACAAAGCCAGTCCATGCAGTAGAATCAAAACCCAGTGCCCTTGTCCTTGTCTTCTCAGTCAGCCCTCATTGTCAGCCACGTTCAGAGAGTCCGGTTTGATCACATGCTCCATCAGTCCCAGTCCAGCTGACCTTGGTGAGCTCCCATTAGATCAGCCCCACCGTCTCAGTGGGTGGATGCACCCCTCATGGTCCTGACTTCCTTGCACACATACTTTTCTTTAATATCAGATTCAAGGTTTTGGCAGGAGAGCAGAGTTTAATCGTCCAGTTGAACATTCTCAAATAACTATTCACATGTTTGTTCGTTTTTCTCCTTCCCTCAGTATGGTCCCCATCTTTTCTTTCTGCCCTTTCCTCCCGTCTGGCATCAAGTCTCCTGCTCCACCCATGCAGAAGTTCATGCTAATTCCCCTCTATCATTTCATCCTGGGCTCCTGTCTGCCATGGAAGGGCATCACGGTGCTGCTGGAAATACCTTTTCAGAGCTTGTCTATCCCACCATCCCTTTGTCCCAAACCAAAGAGCCTGAGTATTTATATGGCTCATTTCACCAAGCTTCTGTTACTGTGACCTAAGCACCTTTAAAACAGAGACCTACACTTCTTGGTTGGCCACCAACCTACCAACTGGTTAGATAAGCACACTAGACTAATTCAGCCTGAGAGAGTGGGTTTGCTCTAAATCTGGACGGGGTGAAAACAACTTTCATCTGTCTACTCCAACGAGGATCTTGAACACTTCATTTTGTTTATAACAGACAATGGGGTGCCAGGTTTATAGTTCACTAAGCCAGACTACATGATACTACCATTTCTATGTGCAGAAATAATCAAACATCAGGAGTGTCACGTGGTTTAGCCTCATAACTACCTATAAGTATTGCTTATTTGAATTGAAGAAGCTGGGCATAGTGAGAAATATCTGTCATTGTTGTACTTGGGAGGCTCAGGCAGGAGGATTGCTGCAAATCCGAGGACACTCTGGGTCATATAGGAAGCACATGACTAGTCAGGGCTGCATAGCTACACCCTGTCTCACACCCCATCAACAACAAAGCAAGAACAAGAACAAAAATGAACTCCCTAGCCCACAGCCATCAATAGATTTTGTTCTGTAGAACAATTGAAAATGCATACAGAAAAGGCAGAAAAGCCTATAAAACAAGCACATTATATGAAGTCAGTTCCCAATCAACACAGGAAACTCCAAGATAAAGATAAATAGAACAGTGAAGCAGGCTCTGGCGCCTCTGACCTCAGCAGTGGCTGCTGTGTAAGTTCAGGCCGTGACCTACTGGATGGACATAGTCATAAAGACACTGACTACAGGAAGTAGTCTCCGGCATTTCGTATGTGGCAGACTCGGTGCTAAGTTCTTCAGACAGCATTGCATTTAATCCCAATCATAAATCCATGAGGATGAGTGTTTGAGTCTTACAAATGAATAGATGAAAATAAAGACTTTACTGAAAGAACAATTAGTTTCTTAGAGACTCATTAAACAAAAACAGGCTTGACATGTTCACTGTCACCGGCGTAATAAAATTTATCAGTATGATATTTTAATGTCCTTCAGTTGTGAGCAGGAAGAGATCTGCCTGGAGAATTTCTTCCTAGTCAATATCAGATCTGAAGGTTTCCCTGCTCCTCAAATGTCTTTTATGCCAGGCTTCCTGACCTGACCTGCTAGAGCTTATTAGAAATTCAGAATCTCAGACCTCCATCCACAGGCATCAGACATTCATTAGGACAAGATCCGGGTGGCTCAAGTGGGCATTAGTGTTTAGAAATGCCATCTTTAGTGTAGTGTGTCTGAATTTAAGCAGATTCTAACACAGTGGTTTTCAACCTAATGCTGTGATCCATTAATTCAGTTCCTCAGGCTGTGGTGACCCCAACCATAAAATTAAATCATTGCACTTTCGTAATTGTAATTTTCCCTGTGTCGTTAACTGTAATGTAAATACCTGGTATATAGGATATCTGATATGTGACCACCTGTAAAAGAGTCGTTCATTGCCCCCCAAGTGTCAAGAATGACAGATTAAGACCGTATCATCTAAATTGATTCTGTTGATGATCAATAGTGAGGCCACACAATTTAAAATGTCCCAGGACTCGATTCCTGAAATGCACCCACTGAAATCCAGAGTGGAAACAGTTTGAGAAGTCATGAATCTTGGGAAGTCCAGATAGTAGAGGATGCAAGGTAAGAGAAGTCTACTGTGACACTCTGGCCTGATCCATGAATATAACCTAGCATACAAGTGGGGCTTTACCTGTTTCATTTTTAATACTCCCTGGTGGGGACAAAAACATATCCTTTCATCTAATGGGACTCCCAGAATGATCTACATCAGATATGAAAAGCATTGAAGCAAATTTATATCCAAAAATGAATGAGATATTTACTACTTTGAAAAGTTGTTTCAGAGTCTGGGAAGATGGGTCAGTTGGTTAAGGGCCTACTATGAAAGCAGGAGGACCTGAGACTGGATCTCCATCAAACATGGAAACTCCCCAAAGTCAGGGTTTGGGCAGGGTTTTGTGTTTGTCTTTCCAGGAAAATGAAGGCATCCAACTAAGGAATCTGAAGACCACTGGACAAAGGAGGCAAAGGAAAAGGACAGTAACTGCCTATGTCTGGAAAGTCCAAGATCCTGGTGCCAAGATGTGCCAGCTGCTCTTCAGTACATGCTGGATTCCTGGAGAA